TGAAGCCCAAATGACTAATGAGAAGACAAAGGTGTTAACCTGAAATAATGAACTTCTTAAGGGGTTTATAAAAAGCTCCAGTGCATTTATTCCTCTAAATATCAGACTCATGACAGCAAACAGATTTTGAATTATGACTACGCCTGCATTCAGGTTGCACTGTCGGCAGGTTTCACAGAATTTCAGCGAATAGTTCAGGACAGCAACATCTCTCACTGATTAACTGGCTGTCGGCTTGTAATGTGGACCAAAAATGGTATTATTAATATCTGCTGTGCAGCATATTGGGTGGATGAATCTGAGGTGTGACTCCACAGAGTAAGCAGTTTTCTATGAGGGATTCATTTTTGTACAACATCCCTGACTTTACCAAATGGATTCATTCATGGATTCTGTGCTCATTGGTAAAAACGTAATTGAAACAGAGTGGGTACATCAAACCAGAGTTGCAGATCCACACCAGCTCACAAGACTGTGGTCACATGAAGCGGTCAGATGATAAGGTGAGGTCATTAGGTGAAAGTGAGGAGGATATGTCTGTGTTAGTGTAGCCGGGGGGGGGGGTTAGAGTTCGACTCAATGATAATGAATGAAGCTTAGTGAAATGAGCTGTAAAAAATGAGTTGACCTTGCACCACTGGGGCCCCGTCAGCAGGTCTTCTGCACAGCATCAGCACATAGTTTTTTGAAGACAACATATCTTAGTAACCAGAACAGGGTGGAGCAATCATAGCATAATGAAAACCAGAGGCTACATATAAAACTAAGAATGCTTGAGGGCTAATACATGGCAAATGGAGAGGGTGGAGGTCACAGGCAAAGTATGCTCTATTGGGAGATCAGAACTGGTTGAGGGAGGATGTTGAGATGATCAAAAAGCATGTGGATAGAGAATGGATGTAATGACTAGTTTGTATTAAAAGATAGTACAGTGAGCAGATGAGTAGGGCAGTGTAGGGAAGAGGCAAGCTGAGAGGACAAACCTGGCTCTACTGAGGAGAAAATGCAAGCTGATAGACAGCGATGTGACAAGGGCAGAGCAAGCAGGAGAGCAGAGGATGGACCGTGAGTCAGAGAGCACGGCCGTGTCAAAGAGGATAAGGAATGTGAGAATGGGAAGCAGATGTGTGTACAAGCTCCTCATCCTTCGCCTGCATCCTGACAGGGAAGCAGGCAGGAGTCACAACATGAGCTGGGGGGAAAACATGCCTGCTCTGATGCACAGGCGCATACTAAAACACAAACGCTAAGCAACAAAAGGGCAAACGGCAGCAGAGGAGTTTAAACCCCTGGGCTAGACAGCAGATGAACGCTTGGCCGTCCCTCGGGAAGCTGCACTACACACAGGACTGTCCCATTGGTAACTTATAGAATATACACAGGAGGGGAGCTCGGCGAGAGAAAATTGAATAAAGGAGAAGGAGGAGGAGGAGGAGGAGGAGGGAGCAGGTTGCTGCAACGCTGGGTAATGCTCCTACCAACCTGAGACCATGATAAAGAGTTATGTAACACCAAGCAATGTTACAGATTCATTTGACGTTTGAACATGTGCACTAGTGGTTTTTCCTCTGCTTTTTTCATTTTTTGCATATGCATGAGATGGCACACACGACACCACACACACACACACACACACACACACACACACACACACACACACACACACACACACACACACACACACACACACACACACACACACACACACACACACACTATCCCATAAGGCACTGTCTTTCTCCATAACTCAGACATCTGATTTAACCAGATATGAAAGCATGGGATGTAATGCATGATGTCAGTATGTTACATATCGAAGAGAACACACAAAGCGAAAAGTTGTGCAAAGCTATAGGGCATGTCTCTCTGGTTGATTCCCAGTGATGAGCCTGTGTGTAGAGGAGGCAGAGAAAAACACATACATGTACTATATAAAGACAGGAGCATAGAGGAAGTGTGGATGAACAGTGTAACATGAGCGGATCGACTGAGAGCCACACATTTGGTTATTCAGCTATTTCCTGATGCAGATTCCAGTTTGAGATACTCCTCTGTAGGGAGGAGTGCACTGACATTGACACACAAGCAGCATACAAAGGCAAAGAGGCAACAAATGACATCAAAGCCTTTGAGTGGCACAACACTCAAGGGGTTGCGTGTGAATGAATTAATATCCGATGTGTGTGTGTGTGTGCATGCTGGCGTGTGTTGTATACACATCAAGAGACGGCTCTTGAGATGTTAAGAGCTGCCCTCTGTGAGTGTCTGACAGCCAAGTGACACTGGTGTCAGCATACCAAAGCCTTGTGTTTCCCGGGCTCCATTAAGATGTGGCTACTCCAGCCGGGCTCTGTGTCTCTGCCAAGTTTCTCACACACACTGCAACTACTGTTACACAGCAGGAGAGAAAGCAGCGGCATTTTCAGTGAGGATGAATGGAGTTGCACGCTGAAAAGCAGTGCATTGCATGAAACACTCTCATAGTCATAATTCCCCTTACGTTTTGCTGAGGATAACCAGTGTGGGAAGTGGTGCTCAAATTGTCTGGAATACATTTAAAACCCCATCTAGATTTCTCATCCCGGCTGCCACTTAGCATTTCTTTTCCTGGCAGCATAATTAAATGATCAGCTGTCACTTCAGTTAACTAGCAGAGATGCAGAGTTAATGTGCTAAATGCCACAGGGCTGGAGCTGCTCTGATTCAATGAATCTTAAGTGTCCTCTCGTCAAACCGTTTCATTCTACTCTCTGTTTTTGTTCTCTGGGTGACAGGCTGCACAATCCCAACAATAATTATCGTTGTCTCAGGCACCGGATATGTACATGCACACACACTTACAAACTGTCAGAGGGATAAGAGAGACTATTTAAAGACGTGTACAAAAAACTGAGGAATCTGGTCCCCTTTTGGGATTTTGTTTTTGACTGTGGATCACAAGAGCCCACACACAATAATCCTGTGTGTGAAAGTGTTTAAGAGGGGGCATGATGCTGTCTATATTCCTACTTACAGTGTAGAGCCCCTCCTCTCCTCTGCTCATGCAGCCATTCAGGCTTCAGAAAACTTTGTTAAAGGGGACCTATCATGCAAAATGCACTTTTGTACGTCTTTTATACATGAATATGTGTCCCCGGTGTTCCAGGGAATTCACCAAGTGTCACAAAACACAACCCTCTCTATTTTCCTCCATACCCAAATCTCTAAAAAAGGGGCTGCAACGGATCTGATAAAAACTGATCCAGATTTGAACACTTTACTGACGTCAGGACAGTGGCGCTACGGCTATTGGGCCAACTCCACCAATCAGGAGGAGACAGCCACGGCCATTGCCGTTCGAAAGCGCTGGAGACGCTGTAGTACATATGCCAGGCCTGTAGGTGGTGCTGTTCTCACAGAATCAGCCCTTGCAAAAACAGGGCTAAAAAAAGTGCAAATTGAGCGAAATGAGGCATGGCTAAAATGCATGATCTGTTTGGTATTTTGTAAAAAAAAAAGTATAAATATGCCTTATATAGGTATGGTCCTACACTATATTATTAAAATATAGCATGATAGGTCCACTTTAAGGTTATATATTTTTAGAGCAGATTCTCTTCTTATATACAGCCCATAAGAGAATATCCTGACATTATTTCCCATAGTTATAACCTCCTACAGGCTGTGCAGAACACTTTGAAACTAAAGTATAATACTCCCTGCAGAGCCCTTTCACTGGCAGCTCCGTCAATGTCTCTTCACAGTAAGCATGATTGTCTTCACGTTTGCATAATTTGGTATATGCAGTACAACCACATTATTATTCTGAATATTTAAAGTAGCACCATGACAACACTGTGAGAAAAGTTTGTGAAAAGGCAGCAGTTCCAGGCACACACACTAAAAGTAGATAGACTTTACGCAGAACAAAAACACAGGCAGGGACATGATACCGTATCTTTACAAGTTTCATTTTATTGGTGTACTTTGACAATAACATTGATGGTATAAAAGAAAAATCTCCATCATACAAATTTCAATAATCAAAAGATAATATGCCGATACACAAACAGATCCACATAAGGCTGACATCAAGTTTTGACAAGTGGCTTCAAATGGCTTCAATTCAAGGAGAAATGCTCTCCTGACAATCAGAGAAGATATATATGTTTAATTTAGCAATCTGTATTTATTTTTCTTATAATTAGCTTTCATACAAAATGATGAGTATGCAGATTTTGGAGTGGATTGTGTTGCTGGTTCGGGTGCCTGTGTTGCATTGCATTGTAAGCATATGGTGTTTATGGCAGACACATCTCTATTCTGCAGTGCTTTCCTCAGACCTGCACCTTACCCCGACTGCTTTCACTATCAAAGAGACATCACACAGAAACAAACAGACTTAACTTCAAGTGATGCCTATATGCGTGCTGTGATATGTCTCTTCTACTGCTACAGCATGTTAGGTAAAGTGAGGCCTGTAGATCACCTCAGAGATTGTGAGAGAATCTGAAATTCATGGAGTGAGGACATTTTAAGTTTGAATTAAAGACAAGGCTGTATCCCGGGGAGCATGGATGAAAAACATTGATGTCACTGTGTAAGCTTCATTAGCACTTAAATGGCACCAGATAAACCCGCAGCCAAATCCCTCCAAAGCCTTGTTCTTTATGCTAGCATTTGTAGTGATTTAAGACCTTATAGAATTTCTAAAACACTACACACAACTATATTTACAATGATCATTTTTATTGATATGCACTTTTTTAATTTAAATATTTTTGCTTATAAAAAAACTCAAGTGAAAAAACACTGCAATAAATTAAGAAGCTTTAAGGCTGCCAGTCTTGTCAGATGCCCAAAATATGGTTTCTTCATTCAAACTGGTACAGAATGGATCAGAGCAAGTGAGATTATGGTACAAAGTAGCCTCATTAGTGAGCAGCACGCTTGGTCTTGGTCTGGACTGAGACCATGTACAGTAAATATATATATATATATATATATATATATATATATATATATATATATATATATATATATATATATATAACAGGGACAAGGTAAGCCAGCATGCTCTTATCACAACCTGAAAACCATTATTTTCTTTTTTTTTTTAAATAAAAAGCAAGAGAGCGCCGACTGATTTGCCCGTGTTACTTCATAATGGACAAAGATGTTTAGAAGTCAGAAAACCCATCTTGTTGATTATGGTGTTGGCTGATGAAGCTACTCATTCTGCATTGTGGAGTAAAGAGCCTTGACTCTAAGAATATCTGAGTCATCCAGAGGTGCTCTTGATATTTAGAGGTCTGAATCTTCACCTGAACACTCAAACTAAATTTGGCTTTTGCTATATCTCCATCTAGCTTTTAATTTAAAGCAAAGACATAATATAATATAATATACAGTGTATCATGTTTGTGTCAAGAACTTTAAAAAAAAAAGGAACCTGCGAGTTGTTCACAACCGGGTCACTATAAATCATTTTCATATCAGTGCTGAAAAACAAAATAAAAAACAATACATCTGAACATTTAGATGGATGACAGTTAGACCTCTGAAAGGTTTAGCCATTTCAATCAAACACACGTGGAAAAGTCAAACTTAACACAAACGCTGCTACTGTTCATGACTTCCACTGGGCACATCCCGAGTGATTGGCTCGGAGGTAAACACGTACGTCTCTTTTGGGCGATTAACCAGTGCAACAAAAACACCATTTTGTTTCACCTGGCAGGATGAGAACAGAGGCAGGCAGAACGTGTGGGTGTAAAGATACTGAATATTTACGCCACCTATAGGCAGGATTAAGGGGTGATTTTTCCTGGCGATATTAGTCTTTATGATGTTAAGATTGGTTTCAGTAATCACATAGAGAGAGACTCCCACAAAAGGAGCTCTGGTCGGTCAGCACCATTGATTATCAATAAATATAAAAGGAGGTGCCCAGTGAAAGGCAACGACTAATAGCATTTTCTGATTAGGTGTCTTGCTCTTCCTGTGGTTGTCACACAAAATGGCCTCTTCAAACCTGTCTGTCTAGCAGATTAATACACACCAGGCCACAGGTCCTGTTCTATCTCACCAGCTATTCATTTCTGGAGAGTAAATCTGCATCTAAATGAAATGGAACATCTCCCCTTTTACACAGACCTGTGCCTCACAATCCCACATAAATACACATAACTGCAAGTTTCAGTGCATCTAACACAGTCTGTCTTTTGTCACCTACTAAATCATCACATCAACCGCAAGAAAAAAAAAAAAAACAATTACAGAAAATAATCCATAAAAGATCAAATAAATAAAATGAGGTCCAGCCTCTTTACTTCTTATTTCATTGTGGAAACACAGTTTGTCAATTAACCACATTTTCCCCAAAAGATACATCTTAAGAAATGCATACAAGGCGATTTGTGTGAAATGAAGTAGCTGCATGACCAGAGGACAGACAGTGAGTAGAGTGTCTGCATGTTTTTTTTTTTCTTTGTTTATTTTAAAAGGAACTACGTTTACAGTATTGGGATATTTTACTCAAAATCAACACTGTCAAACTAACAAATTAGAGAAGCAACATTTTAGCAACTGCTATGTACTGCCAGAGTGCTGTAAGTCTGTCTCAATGCACAGTGTTAGGCTGCATGCTACCAACTGGAAAACTTGACTTAAAACCAACATCCTGAAGTTTGATTTACTTACAATCACACTGGCCAGAGCCTGACTCAAAGCAAACAAAGCTAATGAGTGGTTTATCACGTGACGTCCAACATAAGCAGATCTGCTCTTCTATAGCCACGTCTAGAAAAGTGAATTGAAGTATTAGTTAAAAAAATAAAGGCAGCCATAGATTAGTTGTTGAAGAGATACAGTTCTCACAGCACCCAAAGTGAAGGAGGGCTGGCTAACAGTATAACAAACACTAGACAATCTGAAAAATAACAAAAGCGAAAGCCTCTGTAAACACAAGTGACAGTGACAGCAATCAAGTATTCTCTACCTCCAATTCTCTTTTGTAAAAGAAAGAAGGTGAGTCAACATCAAGGATGTGGGATCTAAAAATAACAACTGTTTATCTCTCCCTGGCTTGGACTAGCACTTAGCACACAAAGTGAGGTCTAATGTCAGTCAGTCACAGTTTCAGGGGTGAAGCCTCCTGGAGGTCACCCTGAAGACCTTACACTGACAATAGGAAACATACAGGCCATTTGCATAGCTCTCCCTACCCTATAAACACGTACAAACAAGCACACTGACAAGGGTGGCATGTTTGCTTAGGCAAAGATGTTGTGAATGTGAAGTCTGCATACACAGCCACTCCTTTTCTATCGTCCAATAAGGGCATGCTAGCATCCGTGCTATTGCATCTGTATCAGGAGGAAGTCAGGTGTAAATTCTGCTGTCTGATATTACAGCTTATTGCTAACAGGCTGAACATACAGCCACTTGCAGGCAGCCAGAACATCCAATGCAACTATGCAAACACTAACGTCACAGTCTTCAAATGGTACGTTCACAGGACAAAATTAAATTCATGAGAGATGATAAAGGTATTCATATTCTTGAAAGTTAGGTTAAACTATTTCACATACAGTTTACATGACTGAAAACACTTACGCTTAATATAAGTTTCTTTTCAGATTTGGCAAACCTTCTGCAGTACCAGCTGCAGGAGTCCACTCGGATTGAAAGTTGATGTGTGGTCGTGTGTGCATGCAAATGCTTTCACAGGCTTACTTTATTTCTGAAAATAAGTAGTGCAAGAGCAAAGAAAAAAGAAAAGCCTCAGGGACCAGTCAGCACGTTTAAGTGTTGCGTGAGTATGTGTGTGTGTATCATGGCCTATTATGATAAACAAGCACAATAATGTAGGGCTGAGCTCATAGTTGACTGAAAAAGATATGAATGAATGAATGGATGCTGAAGGCCAAAATGGTGCAAAAGGCATGTGGAGACTGAAGACTAGATAAGCCGAGATGAGAGGAGTGATGGACTGTGGCACAAGCAAGTGCAGCATTTATCCTTAATTCTGTATATAATTTATCCAACATACTTATTTGAGTCTCCTTTTTTTTTTGCATACAAACAAAGAAATAAAGCAAAGAATCAATCAACTTAAAAGTCCTAAGCAGTGCTGCAACTGGTGAGATATGGCTGATGTCCCGGAGGACTTTGATTCCCAGGTGTTTTGCAGTCCAGCTGATCCTAGATCAGTAGTCAGCTATGGGTGCAAGCTTTCTGCTCAAGCTGACCGTGATGTTGGTGAAGAGAGGCCTCCTGGACACTATGGGGGAGTAGTTTAAGTTGTTAAGACCATCCACTTTCTGTCTCTCCTTTGAGTGGCGAAGTAAACTATATCTGCAAGAACAAACAATCAAAATGTCAACAAGGTGTGGAGAGGAGAGATAAAAACATTATGCAACCCACTGCAATACAAAGAAGTTCAAGGTTCTGGTTAGACAAGTTACAATGAGTGTTAGACAAGACTTAATTAAACAAAAGGTGTGAATTGTAGAAGAACAGGTGTTATCATCCTACACACTGTTAGTAGGTACATTGAAATAAAAGCCTCATTGTCTGTGGATTAGTCAGGAAAGTGACAGTTTGCTTTTTATTCTCATGCGATGATCAAGTTGTGAACATAAATAGACTCCATTAGAGTCGTATAAGATTAACATAGGCACATTTATTTTGGAGAAAATATTTGGAGTATCTACTAAATATCTTATTAACAAATGAAAGAAACATTTATTCTTCGGCCTATTTGAAGTTACTCAGGAGGTGAATAGAAAGAGCCTGATTGGAATTCCAGCCCTGAAGCATACAAGCAAATCACATGCAAAGTCTTTAAAAGAGTTAGAATTATCTTAAAGTCAGCGCTCTGGACTTTCATGTGACTGGCTTACACCACATGAGCCTAAGCCTTATTCAAATGATCACCCTCCCCTTTTAACCAAAGTGTGTGTGGGTGTGTGTGTGTTTTTGTGTGTGTGTGTGTGCGTGCGTGTGTGTGCGTGCGTGTAAACACTCACCTTCCTAGAAACTGGACTTCTCCACGATGGTGATGTGGAATTGACTTATAGCGTCCCTGGTCTCCATGCGGTCTACTTACTGAGTAGTTGGCAAACCGCACCCTAAACAAACATATTTAAGGATCATTTATCCAAAGTGTACACAGCCGGGCAGAACAAGCAGTGCAGTTATGGCCTTTATCGTCATATTACCACAGAAAGAATTGTCATACTATCTTATTAACAGTACGAGTAACATGATATAGGTATGTAAACAATACAAGAGGAAAAGGTTATACAACATTCTCACAAAAGGGATCATTACATACTGAAACAATCAGAATTGTTTCAGTGTATACAGAGAGGCTTAAGTGTGTACAGCTGCCTGTGAGCTGTGTGGGTGGGGGGGGAGGATCAACAACGCCAAATTGCAAAGGCAAATGAAAGGAAAAAAAAAAAAAACGATTACAAAAGCCTGTTGTATGCAAACTGACCATCCCATAGCTTGATCATACCTAAAGTCAATGATACTGAAAGCCCTAGCTGCAGCTGTGTGTGTGTGTACTGAAAAGCTCATGCTGCAGCCGTGTGTGTGTTTGTGCATGCGTGTGTGTTCCCCTTACCTGTTCCAGAGGTCATCGTCCTCTCCTCCCCAGCCCCAGAATGCATTAGGAAATCCATTAATCTTTTTGAACTGCTCCACCGTCAGGCCACTGACACCACCATAGAATTCATTATACGGAAGCCTAAGAGGGAAATTACACTCAATTAACTCAGAATAAGGAAAGAAGACATTTACTGTATATGCCCATGGAGACTGACTCAGGACTCACATGTAGGAGTACTTGTCAAGTTTGACAGCAAAGTGTCGGGGCATGTCTGTGCACCCATAGTAGTTTCTGTCATTCTCCATGAGGTGGTCCACATCGTGGAAGACAAGACAGTCCCAGTCCAGGTCCTTCATGGCCTCTTTGTAGCCCACGTTGAACAACATGGCTCGGTTAAATGGCTCTGTGCCCTCCTAAAGAACAAAAAGAGACACTACTTTTGTAGGCTGGTGTGCAAAAGATTGTTAAATGTAACCATTTCAACCCTCTATCTAGTGTAAATCACAAACATTTCACCACCTGAGTGCAGTTATTTGGACTTAGTTTACACAGGAGAATCTGTCAATCCCTGCCAATGACTGTGAATAGGTGTGTGCATACCTGTTCTATGAAATAAAAGGCAAACTGGAGTCTCTGTTTTTTCAGCACTGGCACCAGGTGTCGCAGAAGAATGGGTAAGTGTTCATGTCGGTTCCTGAATGGGACTAGGATGGCCACCTAAGGGACACAAAAATGGATTATAATACAATATATACAGGATGAAATGAAATTTTTAAGACATGTTAAAAAAACACAAAGATGTTTATAAATGTATTGGGACACGGAGATAGTACGCTGCCTGGTCTGCTCAACATAGTTAACTATGGCACAACATGTTTTTGAGAGCTATAATTGGTAAGGGCAAAGACAGCACCAAAAACCACCATTTGCCATGAATACTCTCATTTCCACAGTGAGAGCTGGCATGCATCAAGCAGAGAAGCACTAAGGAGCTGTGTGACCGAAAAAAATTGTTTTCATGTTGCATGATGTTTACTTCCTAGCTGTGACAGTTCCTGTATTTAAGTTTCTTTTGAAGTTCACTAAAAATCAAACTGTCACAGGAAGCAACACAATACAAGGGAAATGGAAAACAATGAGTGGCTAAGAGAGGAACTAAGGAGAGATTGCTGGCTAATAAAAGAGAGGGACGGAGAGAGAGAGCGATAGAGAGAGAAAGAGGGTCAGTCACAGCCCCTCAGGGCAAGTGAATGTGAGACAGACACACAGATGGCAGGAAAGCTTGCTCTGTTGGGCAGAGAAAGAGCACATAGTAGGGTGCAAGAATGAAACAGTACTGCAAAGCACATAGAAATGGTTGGATTCATTTTGCCTGCTTCTTGTTCTTACTTAGTGGGTATTTCAGTCAATATGTGTATTATTGTATTTAAAGCTCCCCTATTATACTGATTTTCATCAATATATTATAGGTCTCAGATATATACTAAACATGTCTCTGAGGTGTTTGGATGAAATACCAAACAGATCGTGCATTGTAGCATCCCATAATCCCCTCTGTTTCAAAAGTGCCGATTCTCTGTCTGTTACTTTAGATGAAAATAAGGAGCCACTCCCCACGACCCTCTGAGAGATATTTGGTTAAAAAGAACACAATGGTGCTCTAGGAGGAGATTCAGGTGATATCATTATGACATCATAAAGTGTCCAAAATCTGTTCAGGCAGGTTTTTATATAAATGGATCAGAAGAGAGCGAATCTTTTTTCCTGAAACACAGAGGGGACACATGTTGATGTATAAAAGACATGAAAAAGTGGATTTTGCATAATAGGTGACGTTTAAATATCAGATAGATAAACCCTTTATCCTGACGTTAGATGTTGGATTGGTTTGTCATACTAAATCAAGTCATGACCCATCATGCCCTGTATGAGGGAATCTGCAGTGTGCTCCCCTCTCCCCCCGTGTGTGTATACAACAGTGCTTTTCTGTTATCAGATCCTGTATCACATCCACACTTACCTTCCAGCGAGGTACACAGTCTTTGGGCTTCCAGTAGCCTCCTGAGGCCATCTGAGGCTCTCCCTGCAGCAAGAGCCTCTCCACATCCTCCAAAGACACTTCACTCATATTCACCTCTAGCCTGCCCTCTGTGTGAGGGGGGGGGGGGGGGGGGAGAGAGAGAGAGAAAAAGAGAGGCACATTTTATGAGTCGGAGAAAACAATAATGGTGAGGAATAGACAAAGTGAAATCCATGGTGTGAATGTGAACAGGATGAACTAGTACAGATGGAATGAGGAAGAGGATAAGATAAGGGAAATGTTAAAGACAATGGAAACAAGTTAAAAGATGGAGAGTGAAAGGAACAAGACTAGAGGGAAGGGGACAAGACTTGTCAAAGGCATTCACAGTTGAGCAATCTGGCAGATTGAATTATCGAGTGAAGCTATTCTGTGCCATTACAAGATATTTGCACGCATCGACTCTCAAAGCTGAAACAAAATGCGAGGTCTCTCAACCAATTCACTACTTATTTTTAGAACACATATTCATGGCAGCACAGTAAAGTTCACTTAAGGGAATATTTTGGCCAAGAATACAGCTTTTTTTACGAAAAGGTCAACCTAGGATAATGACTGACATTTTTTCCTATTTGGTACCATACATAACCAGCCAAATGAAAACATTCCATCATATAATTTACAGTGAACTTACTCATGGAGGACAGCCTCTCAGGGCAAACCTGAGAAGGGAGGTAGGTGAAGCCCTCTGGGAGGTATGTGGGGGGAGGACCGTCACTCTCACTGATGTTGAAGTCATAGACATAATCTGGAGTCACACACATACAATAGACACAATCACAAATCACAATCAGAAGCGTATAAATCAAGTCTTTATCAGCAGTTGTCTAACTGGGTGGTCTATCCTTTTTGTTTGAATGCTTTCTTACATTGTTTTGCATAAGCTATATACACGATTAAAAGTAAGGCTAGAACAGCTACTTTTCTTTCCCCTCTTTATTTAAGCATACATATCATAAATAAATAGCAAGCATATTAATTACCAGTGTATGAATTTGTGTATATTTGTACCTGTGCCATTGTTGCTGTAAGCCCCTCTCACCACCTGCTCTAGAACCTGAGCCCCGATGTTCTTCACGTTCTCTCTGATCTGGATCCCTCTGGCTTGGACCATGAACACATACTCATTCACTGCGGAAACACAGGACAAAGGACAGAAAGTTAAGTTAATGTAGTCTTCGACACATTGTTATGGTCCCAATATTGTTTTTAAACAACACACTTGGGAAGATTTTAGAAATACAAATGAAAGCATGGAGGGAACACAGCTCAGAAATACATCATCAGTTATAATAACCAAGATAATTCAGCAGAAATTCAGACAAATCGTTGAACTCATGACCAACAACTTCTTAATTTCATTCCAGCTCCTTTTTAGGAAACAAAATAGAGCATGTTAGAGGAAGATAAATATGTAACACATGAAAGTTAAGTGTTAGCATACTCTTCCACCTGATCTGGCCCAAACTGATTACGTGCCATGGTGACTTAATGAAGGGGGTTTCCCTGCCACACATCAAAGGGCTTTCATCCCAAAGGAGCCATATATTAGAGTGTTAATCTGTGCTGAAGGGGGAGGACAAGGGAGGAAGACACCACTTATATAGAAAGGAGGAAACTTGAGATAATGAATTTGAAATGGTTGGTTGCTTTCTGCCATTCTTTGTAATAATTGCAATGTTGTTATAATGCCGTATTATGCTGCACTCATTATCTATTGCACTGTTAGTCATGCAATGTCATTTTTTTATGATGCATTTGTTAGTCTAACAAGAGGGCACACAATGAGTGGGAGTGCAACAGACAGCTAATAAGTCATCTAAAGAGGAAGCCCCAAGTTTCTGGATATTTCTGTGTGTCTGCAAAACGCCACAATGACTAATTGTCCTAAGAGGATGCCGTGGTGTACATCTCAAGGAGGACTAGCAACATCATTCAATGAAGCAAGAGACCTCACGCCATCATTGCTGCATATCATGTGGGAAATCTCTCTTTTTTTAAACTGTTGAGTAGATTTGTATGATACACTAGATGCTGTTGTGAACTTTACCAGAGAAGCTTAGTGCCACTTCTGCTCTGTGAAGGTTGACCTAAATTAAACCAAACAGGGGCAATAGACTGGAACAAATAGAGGGGATGTGGTCTAACTGTTACCTGAGCCCACGTCATACACATTCAAGTCACGGATGTGCACTTGCATTAGGGTATGTAGTAAATGGCTGTGTTCCTGATCTGCTCCAAGACTCAGGAACAGATTATTTGTCCAAAACTCAGGAAGTAACATGCGGAATAGTGGTTTGCATGCCAGCACAATGCTGCAAAATGGATGGACCCCTTCCTCAGTGAATCTGTATTCAACTGCATCATTTCTTCCCATCAATCCAATCAGCATTTATCTTAAAGTAATCCTAATATGATCCACATCCTCCTGTGGATGCTGAACTGTCTGTGTATGTGCTGGTGTGTGCATGTGTAATATTGCTGAGCTAGAAGTCCAGGGAATGTGATTTGTCATTAGTAATTGTATTACAGTTTCCATCACATTCATCTTGTTTTATACAAACTGCCTGGCTTGCAGGACTAGAGACTAGCGGCAACTGAAATCAATGTTCTGGTTTTACTTCTGCAAATCAGCAAAGGATAACATTAATAAAAAGGAAAATATGACACTGACTTGATCCTGTTCACTCTCACTGTAATACATGCACACACGCATACACACACTAACACACTTACTGATGCCCCTCTGAGGCACCATATGATGGAAAAAAGCTAAGAGGCTTCTTGAGTGTGATGCAGTCCTGCAGGCACCAACATATTTTGACACGTTGGCATCTCCTCCTCATTTCTACCAGACATATGGAGATATATTATCTATGCATATATTTACAAGGACACATCTGAACACATGCACTGTACATATAAATATATACACTGAACTGCTTCAGCTTGTACAGAAAAGCAAACCAGAGCCTCAGCTCATCTTAGCTGTAAAATATCAACCGTGAACATTTGTGGCTTTAAAAACAAGAGTTGTTTGGTTCTTCCATAGGTCAGCAAAAGTATTTAAGCACAGAGATGGAGGATGTTAACACTTGATCTACTGTACACAAAGCAGTGGGCGTACACTTCTGCACTCGCCAAACCTGCATTCTTAATACTGTGACAAATGCTATTAGGTAGAAGAGACCTGGAGTTTAGAGGAAGCAAACGAGGTAGGCTATGAAACAAGGCCATTAGCACTTGATATGTAAGCAAGGGAATGCATGTGAACACACACAGCCTTCTGATGTGTCACTGGCAAGGGGCATTGCATGCATACATACACAACTATATGATATGCAGAGCAGAAGGACCCCATACACCCACCCCCACCATAACCCATGAAGCATAACAGGAGACCTTGAAAGACCTTGTCCTCTATAGCTCTCACAGAACACGCTGTCCGCATGCCAAGCCCAGCCCACCTCTCTCTTTCTCTTTCTCTGTCTCTATCCGTTCCTCTTTCCACTTATCTGTCCTTCCCTCTATCGCCCCTCTCCATCTCTCTGTGATGCTGTCTCTGTGTAATGTGGTTTGTATCAGTTGCTGTCAAGTTCGTTTGTTCCTATCGTTTAAGTAAATAATCTGAATGATGGATTGCAGTCTGATGGGGACAATTCCAGTCACTGCACCATAATGTATTGTAACTTGGGTTGATGGAAAAAGAAAAGCTAACAAACAAGCAGGGAAGGAAATGCACACACAATCCCCCACAACCCATCCAGCTTTGCCTCTGAAAGGCAATTAACTCCACATTGATAGCTCAGCAGTGGGAGGTGATCGGCCCCGTTGTGGTTGCTCCCTGATAAGAGCTGAAAGGATGGTTTTTTTTCCTCCTCGCAGCAGAAATGGTTTCTGCATGCTCACACACAGTGACACACCCATACACTCGTAGCTTACAGGGTTTAAAGCTGTCACTCTCAGAAAGGGTCATTTTCACTACCACTGCGTATCATTGACACCCACATGCATACATATACCCAGGAAGTAGGGCACTATAGGCACAGATATCTCAGTGAATGCTGAATGTGTCTTATGCCTGTGTGAAAGCTGGATTAATGACACTATTGGGAATGTAACAGTCTTAATGAACCAAAAAGGATTTACACAATCCAATATCTAATTGTTAAGTAAACATTCCATTACTCATTGCATTAGCACTAAATCCCTCACATTTAACGAGAACAACCACCGCAATTTGTGTAGATTGACCTGAGGATGTATAGGATTGGCATGATGCTAAGAAAATAGATTTCTGATTGAATATGGATTTCTTAAACACTTATGCAGGGATTTCTTTAACACATAAAGCATGCATGTTCTTTTCTAGCCATTATTGGACAAGCGTGTTATTAGCCTCCTTTGATCCTTTGTAAGTGATGCCGAGAAACCCTGAGGCTGTGTTAGATCAATAAACACACACAGCCTTTCAGTCAACACACACGCACAAACACACTGGGCAAAGCCGTGTGTTACCATATAGGGAAATTATATTTACATTTTTTTCATTTCTCCTCAACAACCACTAAACTACGAGTTTCAAAATTATTCTAAATGTCAATCTCATCTGCACAAACAAACAACTGGTGAAGTGAATCCTGTCTGTAATCTGGGTTTTTTCCATGCTTCCTTTGATTTCACATTCTGCTTATAAACAACCAGTGTTGCAATACAGAGACAACTCACAATGTGTTTTCTTCTTGTCAATCAGACTCACAGAGATAACTAAACTCACTTCCTGCTTGCCGCCCACCCCCAACAAGTTCAAAACCTCTCTGTCTAACACAAATACATGCAAATGCACACACTCACAACCACACAGCCCTTCAAGATCAACTTATACTTCCTCTTATTCTTTGTGTGACTCATTTTATGCTATTTAAATCTACGAACACATATGTTGTGAATTACGAGAAGAGTCAGTTCCTTTGAATTTTTGAACAAACACAATCAGAAGCCAACTTCTTATGAAAGTATTTTGTTACAAAACTGAGCAAAACCTCAGTGAATACTATCCTGCTTTGCAGAGAGTTTTACTACATGAGTATAATGACTAAAGTACAGCTGGTGTTGTGCGTGAATCCAATTATTTTTAGTAGATTCTTCTGATGTTGTGCCATGGCAAACACAGTGAGACTGAGGCTGTTACACATCTGTAAACTTGTAAACAATGCTTTGTTTTTTATACATTTCTGAGTTTCTGTTTGGAGGGCATTTTTTAAGCAACTTTTGTGCTGCTGACATTGGTAAATCTTAGTTGTGTAATTTGTGTTAACATGGAAGAGAATGAACTACCTCAAACAAACTTAATTAATCTTATCTTACACTTTCTAATGGAAGAAACACTGCTCTCTAATGGCGCAGTTCCACTGCAGCGCGGAGCTCGCTTTAAGCGTGCCGTGTCGTGCCGTCCCCTTTTTTGGTTGTGCTTCCACTAGGCCTAGTTCCGGCGCGGCACGGCGCGGGGCCACTTTTTCACCTCTTTTCTGGCCCTAGAAAATTGTGGTTCTATCGGGGCCAACAAACAGGGCTGAGTCGGGCTGAGTATGCTAAACTAGAGAGAGGAGCGCTGGCAAGAGGGCTAGAACTACAACAAGATGGACATATTTGACCGTGATTTAATTGTAATACACGTTTCAAAATGATGCCGAAGTAACAACATACTGATACCGGTTAGTAAAAACCATGAATTAATGCTTTGTCAAGTCTGCAGACAGACGGCAGGCGAAAAACCTTTTAAAATGCGTGTTTTTCTAGATGGAGATTGGCTAAGCTAACGCAGTATATGCTTTGACCGTCCACACTCACAACAACGGCCTATACAGACATAAATAAAGCAGCGACTGTATTCACCATGACACAGGCAGTCTGTGGTTTGTACTTGTTTAACTTTTGTCGAGTTTCTGAACATATATAAGGAGCTGTGAGCTCTGAGTGCTAACAGCTAACGGCTGTGTTGTGTTTCTGGAGTTCTCAATGAAGATGACGTCACGGCTCCGCCTACACTGCGTTACTATAGTAACTACCCCAGTTCCTAAACTGTAATGGAAGCGCAGCATGAAGTGAGTCGGCCCTGTTAAGGCCCAACG